AAAAAAAAAAAAAAAAAAAAAAAAAAAAAATAGAAAAGGAAAACAAAGGAAACAAAATGTAAATTGTAAGTTCAAACTACTAGAAATTCCTTAAATTGAATTTTCAAGCTAAGTAAATTAGAGAAGTATCAACGAGTGTCAAAGAGAGAACTTAATTAATGAAGATTTCTGTGTGAAAAGAGTTGGTTTACCAATGGGGTAATTGGTTCTATAACGCCTGGTTTTTGAAACCTGGGACCTCCTGGAGTTCTCTAGTTCCAAGTAAATGGATGACGGTCGTAAAGGCGGTGCCAGGTTCATTCTGTAGTTGCTGGTCGCACCTTCCATGGATAAGCATCTTCTGGGCAACGACCTCGTCGTTAATGGCGCTTGTTTCTCCCCGTTTCCTCGGCTCTCCGCCGTCTCTGCTTTCATCCGCGACTCGCTCGTACTCTCTGCTACGAACGACCACGGGCAGTTATATTATTTGTTAAAACGCAGAATTGAAATCCCTTTCAATCGTATCCGTGTGAGAATATAAATTTTCTTTGTGAGACAAGTTTATATACGCGTGTGGTAGTATATTATAGTATATAGGGTAGTCACTGAAGAGACTGAATGATATAAAACAAAAATAACTTTTACAAACACATTTTTTAATTTTTTAATTTTTTATTGTTTTATTTTAGTTTTTTAATTTTTTATTTTATTATTTCATTGTTTTATTATTTTACTATTTTACTATTTTACTATCTTATTATTTTACTATTTTACTATTTTATTATTTTATTATTTTACTATTTTACTATTTTATTTTATTATTTTATTATTTTACTATCTTACTATCTTATTATTTTACTATTTTACTATTTTATTATTTTTTTATTTTATTATTTTATTTTAGTTTTTTAATTTTTATTTTATTATTTTATTATTTTACTATTTTACTACCTTACTATTTTACTATTTTACTATTTTATTTTATTTTTTATTTTATTATTTTATTTTAGTTTTTTAATTTTTACTTTATTATTTTATTATTTTACTATCTTACTATCTTATATTATTTTACTATTTTACTATTTTATTATTTTTTTACCTTATTATTTTATTTTAGTTTTTTAAATTTTTTATTACTTTATTTGAAAATATAATTAATGGTTTTTTTTCAATATTATGTATTTTTAATCTCCAAGGGATACTCCATAACTCACAAAAAAAGAAAATAAAAAAGACATGACTTTTTCAAACCCTTCAGTTTTTCAGTGACCATCCTGTAGCATGCGAAATATTTCGTTCATTATTCATTTTCGTTTATTCATTAATTTCAATAGCTTACGATCATGTTTGTTCCCAGCGGAGGCCTGCCAGCGTCGCAATTCGTTCTCCAACACATCCAACGCGTATTTGTTGCACAAAACTGCGGAACGATCGGTGTCGTTCGGCGAACGCATTAGCAACTTCCTATCCAACGATTGCGTCGTCATCTTGGGACTGGCTAAATGCAATCGTTACTTAGAAATGTTCGTGCTTTTCTCGCGCTCCTTCGTTCACTCGCAGAACTCGTGCTGTTTCAGATACCTGCACTTGGTTTCGCTATCGGCAAATCCGCGTATCTGGACACAGTCGCGGCTTTAAAACCAATATTTGGATTTATCGACGATGGACAAGAGGCGATGGGCCTCTTCGCTTCCGAATCTTCGTATCGACGAGCGTTGTACCTCGATTGAAGAAACAAAGAGAAAAAGGGAAAGTGTTTTGTATAATAATTTAAGTGAAGGCAAAAGTTTTATATGGTTTATCATGTTGATCATAATATTTTAATATTTTTATTTATATTAATATTTAATATGATTAGTATTGTATTAATATTTTTAGTTTTACTAGTATTGTATTAATATTTATTTATTTAATACGATTAATATTATATTAATATTTTTATTCACATTTTCTATTTAATACGATTAATATTATATCAATATTTTTATTTATTATATTAATATTATATCAATATTTTTATTTATATTTTCTATTTAATACGATTAATATTGTATTAATATTTTTATTTATATTTTTTATTTTATACGATTAATATTATACTAATATTTTAATACGATTAATATTATACTAATATTATTACTATTTTTTTACGTTTAATATTATACTAATATTTTTTTACTATTAATATTATACTAATATTTTTTTACAATTAATATTATACTATTATAAGATTAATATTTTTTTATTTATATTATTTATTTAATGCAATTAATATTATATTAATATTTTTATTTATATTTTCTCTTTAATACGATTAATATTATATTAATATTTTTATTTATTTTTTCTATTAAATACGATTAATATTATATTAATATTTTTATTTTTATTTTTTTATTTAATACGATTAATATTATATCAATATTTTTATTTATATTTTTTTATTTAATACGATTATTATTATATTAATATTTTATACGATTAATATTATATTAATACTTAATACGATTAATATTTATATTAATATTTGATACGTTTAAATTATACGATTAAATTATAAATGAAATAACACTGCAGTTAACAAATTACAGCATACCTATTGTCCACGTCGAAATACGATGATCTGGTTAGGGTTTCGGACAAGCCCAGAGCTGAATCTGCAGATCTTTGGCTCACTCTGATGGATCTTCGAAAGCCACCCTTGCCTCCACCGTATCGCCTTATCAGAAATATATTCTTACCGTACGTATTTCTTGAAAATATTATTGTCTGGTTCCCAACAGGAACTTTTTCATTCTTTTGATAATGCCCAAATACGAATTTGCGCAAACACTGGTACGTAGGTTACTTATGTTGTTACAATCGAGTTAAATAAATACCCTGGTTGCCTCATGGAATACGATCTGACAAAATGGGTCCTTGGTCGTCTTTTCCTTGGTGGTTTCGTGCATACGTAGCAGCAAACTCTCCAGTATAAAAATCTAATATTGATAATTAAAGTAAATCGACAAAGACATTAATCAAAGTAACAAACATAAGACATGTTTTAAGAAATGTAGAATCATTTCATAAATATCGTATAATGGTTGAAGGTGAGAATTTGAAAATTTTTGAAAATTGATACGAAAGATGAAGAACAATATTATAGTATCAAAGGGTTTGATTATATATAACACTTATATCCAGATTAACAGAGTGTCCATAAAGTCTCTTTACAATTTCAAACATTTATTACAAAGGCAAATGAAAAGACAGATAAATGAAAATTATTACAAAATGAGACGTCTATATTGAAGTTTTTTTTTTTTTTGTCTTATTTAATACACCTCTACACGGACATCATTAGTTACACGAAGCACATAAAAACGGTACTTCAACCATTTCGCGGTGGCAACTGATTGCGGACCATAACGAGTGACCGAGCCGTATAATTCGTTGTTTTCCTTTTAAACTCGTCGATATGATATCACTGGATAGAAATTATTGAGCAGTAATAAATTTATTATTTGTTTTGCTTAAAACAATTTTGTTTTACTTGAACATATTTTATTTTAATATAATAAATATATTTTAATAAATATTTTATATTTAATATAATATAATAAATATATTTTAAATATATTTTATTTAATATAATAAATATATTTTAATAAATATTTCACTTAAAACTGATTATAAGAAAATTTTACTTATTATATTTATATATGATATAATATATATTTTTTATTTTAAAATTTTACTTATTATATTTATATATGATATATAATATGTTTTTTATATATTTTATTTTACTGAAAATCAAGGAAATAATTACAATTTTGGAACAAAAGAATTCTCGACGCGCGTGACACGTCATTCCAGCGCAATATGTCAAAGACGGTATGTCTTTTCGTTTGCCTTTGTAATAAACATTAGAAGTTGATCTCGTCAGTGTCGACAGCATTGGAAAGTACATTTTTCTTTTTTTTTTTTTGTTTTTGTGCATTATTCACCTGAAACTCGAAGCCATGATATCGCCGATATTGGAAAGGCACAGTAGCATCAGGGGGATCCCAACGATAGCGTAGAATATGGTGACCACTTTCCCGTTCTTGGTCTTCGGCGCGATGTGACCGTAACCTGCGAGTCAAGGAACGCTCGATTAGCTTTGCGTAATTTCCTGCTCGCAGTTGTGTAACGCACAATTGATTCTGTACTGTTGGCATGGCTATCTGTCGAAAGTCCTACGCTGATGATTTATCTAATTTTATTATCACTCTTTCAAATGGCATATTTCGTCTTATACCAGGATATTCGAATTATTGTTATTTCATTTTTGTTTAGAGATCGTAGGAAATTTTCGAATTTTGTGACGTGAAAGAATCCCTAAATGAATCGTTGAAAATTATTATATTAAACAAAGTAATTATTAATTATAATATTAATTATATATTATAATATTAAATTAAACAAAATAAATTATTATATTAATAAATAATTTATTATAATAAATTATTATATTAATAAATAATTTATTATAATAAATTATTATATTAATAAATAATTTATTATAATAAATTATTATAATATTAAATTAAACAAAATAAATTATTATATTAATAATTTGCACAATTATTCAATTTTGATCCACTTTCATACACTTCAGAACGAAGGTTTCATATGTGTGCAGAATTAACCTGTGCAAACTTCAGGTTCTCAGCTTTATTCAAATAGTTTCAAGGTTCCATACCGATACTCGGAAGAACACTTGGTCAAGATCGTTTCAACCTCCGCCGTTATTTCGTAATAACAAGTCTTTCTACGTCTCGTATATACGTGGATTCATCCCACAGTTTAGGTCAAGGTGTTACTTTTTCATCAATTACGTTTCGCTGTTAGTTACATCGGTTCTTAATCTCGAGATTCTTAATCTCTCATTTTCTATGTTGGACAATAAATGAGTGTAATTGAAATTTCTAAAAAAAAGTCGAAGTTTCGTTTTATATATATAATATACACACCTAATTATTAAGTATATTATTAAATATATGTAATATAATAATAAATATAATAATATACTATATATAATATAATAACAAATATAATAATATACTTAATAATTAGGTGTGTGTGTGTGTGGATATATATATATAAGTAAACATATAAATTATATAGGTTATAAATTACGTGTATATATATATATATATATATAATATACACACATAATTATTAAGTATATTATTAAATAATATATATAATATAATAATATACTATATATAATATAATAATAAATATAATAATATACTATATATAATATAATAATAAATATAATAATATACTATATATAATATAATAATAAATATAATAATATACTATATATAATATAATAATAAATATAATAATATACTATATATAATATAATAATAAATATAATAATATACTATATATAATATAATAATAAATATAATAATAT